AATTGAACATCTGATGTTATCACATTCCCTTCATCTTGTTTATTCATCGGCTAATTGAACATCTGATGTTATCACATTCCCTTCATCTTGTTTATTCATTGGCTAATTGAACATCTGATGTTATCACATTCCCTTCATCTTGTTTATTCATCGGCTAATTGAACATCTGATGTTATCACATTCCCTTTTCGCTATTGACTGGCTAGTTACACAAAGCCTCTTTCTGTAAGTGTTGGAGAACAAGTTCCCTCATTATGAACCAAAGCAAGTCATGAAGAGCCAAAAAGGAAGTTAAAAACCAACACAACTTGTCGTAAAACCACAATAGATAAATTTATGCAAAGTTTTAACATTTTTTTTCTGTATTCTTCAGTGTGGTCAACATGACCCGTACCCCCGACCCCGTTGACCCGTCCATCGTTGACCGCACCACGGCCCTGGCACACAACCCGGAGCAGTACCTGGCGGAGCTGGGACGTCTCCGGGCGCAGATCGCGCGGCTCAGGGGACTCATAGAGAGGGAGGAACAGGTGCCCTCTGACGAGAAGTCCACACGCGAGATGGACACAAGGATCAAGGTGAGAGGAAGAGAGAGATGACGACATCATCGTAATAACATCGGCCAACTGTTTACATGTACTACAGCCCAGAAGTTAGAAAAAATGTTTATTAGAGTTTTTCAATCTGTGGTATTAGTTGCTGGTGGTCAAGAAATATTTGGTCAAAATTCAGGCTCGAAATGTTGAAGTGGGTGGTTGGTGGGTGCTCTGGTTTGGTCTGCTCCTTCTATCCCTGCAAATATGTATCGTTCTTATCTTCTTTTTTTTTTGGTGTGTGTTACTCTCTTGTACCACCTCTAATCTTCGGAACTTTTTTGACCACATTGTGTTGTAAATGCCATAAAACACTTACTAAAACTGGAAAGACGAAAGTTAAAAAAGGAGCAAGGACAAATACACACTATCTAGGTGCAGTTGTTGAAAGAAGGAAATACATTTTTTTCTCTCCTGTCAAACTTTGCTGTCTGAGCTTCGTACATTAGAACTGCCTGCCAAAGATAAGACCTTTTGTAGAACTCGTCTTTCTTATTTAAAGCCAGAGTTATGTCAGTTTTTTATACATGAATTGGTTGATAAAGTAAGGATTTGTCAGTATTTTCTTTCTGGCATAGGATTTGTCAGTATTTTCTTCCTGACATGTACAGATCAAAGCTTGCAAAGAAGTGTTTCATACCTGTTTCAAACTGTCTGGAAAGTTTTGTACGTGTTTGGGTGGGAAATGAGGGAGGGGATGGAAAAAGTCCCACCTCTCAAAGATGTCCAATTTGTCACAGACAACTGACTTATTTACATACCCAGGTAAATGGGCATATGCAAAAACACCCAGGTAAATGGGCATATGCAAACACCCAGGTAAATGGACATATGCAAACATCCAGGTAAATGGACATATGCAAACATCCAGGTAAATGGACATATGCAAACACCCAGATAAATGGACATATGCAAACACCCAGGTAAATGGACATATGCAAAAACACCCAGGTAAATGGACATATGCAAACACCCAGGTAAATGGACATATGCAAACACCCAGGTAAATGGGCATATGCAAACATCCAGGTAAATGGACATATGCAAAAACACCCAGGTAGTGGCCATAGCTAGCAGTGAAAGTTGTCTGGTCTTGAGTGATTAAACCCGATTCCAGCTAAACAATCAGCCAGGAAATGATTCTTGCTTCTCCAGTCATAGTGGAATTACTTACTCAAATCTTCCATTATCCCTTAGAAATGATAAAGTTCATGTATT